TTCATACACAACACAAACTTGATATGATACGATTTGTTAGACACTAATTAATAAATGAATTAGATATAAATAAAATATTTTTTAATACGAATCCACTAAGACTTAATACAAACTCACCTCACTCCACACGATTGACATACCTAATAACAACGAATTAAAGAAGTGTAATTAGAATGACTATTCATTTTGATGTCAAAAAAATTATACTGAGATGGAGAGGAAGGTGAGAATTCTAAATGATAGTGTTGCTAGCATAGTAAATGTGTTTGAAGAAAGTGCATGCACAGTTAATTTATTCCTGCTTGATTAACATAAATATAGGAGGATAAACTTCATTTAATGGGTAAGGACAGAGGAGATCTAGTATGATCATGTATTAGTGCATAGAGTAGATCCCACTTAAATTCCCAATAAGTAATCTATGAAGGGAAAAAGATATTCACAAAATGAATTATTTTCATAGTCGAAAATTGTCTTAATCACATGCATTTTGAACTTGTTATTGCTTTGTAGAATCAATATCTATGCAGGAATCATTTATAAAATGCGTGCATCAATTCCATAGAGTCGAACTTAGGAAATGGAAATATAAATCAGTCAAGTCCTATCCTCCGAATAACGTTGGTGGGTTAGACTATGTTATTGTAACAGAAAGCAAAGATCTCTGGAAAAAATGAACAATTAGGCCTAAATAAAAAAAAAAAGCCAATGAAGTGATGCATTGCAACAAGTCTGTCTCCTTCAATCAATAGTTTTGGAGCTATTCCTGGCAACACTTGCTTCCCTGTTTACATGTGATGTGATGTGAATATATGCAGGCCTACACCTAATCTAAGTCTACACTCAGTTGAAGACGAGTGAAAAGACCATGAAAGAAAATGGTAGTATCCTGTGGAAATAATGCGAGACCATATGTATCAAATTTAGTGGTATTCCTTGATCTCTTTCTTCGGTGTCTTTTCCTTTTGTTCTCCCTTCCGATCCAAAATTTTTTATGGGTACTACACATTACAACACATTATCTCAGTTGGCATTTTTAATAGGAAAAAATATTATCTATACCTAATTTAGTCACTTTATTTGTTTACGTGATAGATCATAGTCATTGAATTAATAGTGAATCTCAATCATAATCATTACATTGATATTAAGTCTCAATTAATAGTGAAGTTTACGTGTGACACTCTTCGAATGATAAAAAATAATAAGGTTAACAAATAAAATCTATATAATATTGTTCTTTTAACAGAAGTTAATGTTTAAAGCAATTGACACAAGTATCGAGGAGATCAAAAAGTGCACGTTCATTTTATTCTTTTTTTTTTTTTTAAATTATGCCCTCTTATTTTATTAAAAAAATCTGACACATTCGGGTTTTTTTTTTTGGGCCAAATATGCATTAATTTGGCTGATTTTTTTTTTTTCAAAAGGTAATTTGGCTAAACCTAATGACAAAAGCTAATGCAAAGACGCTCCAATGGAAGTCACCCTTTCCCTAAAAGTAGGCTCCCCTCCAAAGACATTCTCCCAAAAGTAGGCGTCCTCCAAGAGCATTTGTTGACGCCCTCCTCTTTAATAGGCTTTCTGTTTTAGATTTGCATCAATTTTTTAAGTTTACTAAATTTAATTATATACACAATATTTTGAATAACAATCTTAAGACAAAGTTTTAGGTTTTATGACTTTGTTATATAATTAGATTACATATTGTTATAATCTAAGACAGTTGTGTTAAAGACAAAATTTTGTATTCTAATTTTTGTGTTCAATATGATATTTTAAATTAAAAAAAATAGAATTAGGTATTCTGTCTCCAGAAGAAACCCTCTCCCCAAAAGTAGGCGCCCCTCCAAAGGCACCTTCTCTAAAAGCATACGCCCTCCAAGAGAACTTGTTAGCACCCTCATCCTTAATAGGCTTTTTATTTTAGATTTGCATTAGTTTTTTAAGTTTACTAAATCTAATTATATAAACAATATTTTGGATAACAATATTATGACAAAGTTTTCAGGTTTTATGACTTTGTTATATAATTAGATTACATATTATTATAATTTAAGATAGTTGTGTTAAAGACATAATTTTGTATTCTAATTCTCGTGTTCAATACGATATTTTAAATTAAAAATAAAATAAAATTTTGTATTTTGTCTTTAGAAGACACCTTCTTCCCCAAAAAATAGGCGCTCATCCAAAGGCACCCTCTCCTCAAAAGTAGGCGCCCCTCCAAAAGCACCTTCTCCCAAAAGCAGGCGCCCTCCAAGAGCACTTGTTGGCGCCCTCCTCCTTAATAGGCTTTATGTTTTAGATTTGCATTAGTTTTTTAAGTTTACTAAATCTAATTATATATACAATGTTTTGGATGACAATCTTAAGACAAAGTTTCTGGTTTTATGACTTTGTTATATAATTAGATTACATATTGTTATAATCTAAGATAGTTGTGTTAAAGACAAAATTTTGTATTCTGTCTCCCCAAAAAGTAGATGCCCCTCCAAAGGTGCCCTCTTCGCAAAAGTAGGCGTCCTCCAAGAGCACTTGTTAGCACCCCCTGCTTAATTGGCTCTCTGTTTTGGATTTGCATTAGTTTTTAAGTTTACTAAATCTAATTATATACACAATATTTTGGAAAACAAATTATACTTGCATCCCTTTTCTTCCAATCATCCTCGTCGATTGTAAGTGGTATAAGTGATGAATTGTAAACTCAAACATTTTGAGTTCGAATCTTAACAATTCTTTAAGACTATTCTATGATAGATTTATTCCTCATGAATATCTTAGTTCTGACATGGATGACTTGTCTTTAACTAAACTGAGAAGAAAATTAGTCGAGATGTGCGTAAATTACCCCAGACACCCCCACACTGTTAAACCATAAAAACAAACCTTTCCATGTGATCTATCGTTACGAGCATATGCTGTAAGCAAGCAATGAACAAATTCTCAGCTTCCTTTGACTAGCTTCATCTTCCTTGCGTGATACAAAAGCTCAATTTCTATGCCACGAACTTAACATCAAATCATGGCATGTATTCCATTCCCATCAGGATGATGCCTTTATAATGACGGAACAGACCATAAGACTACTTCCCTGAGTCAACTCATAACCCTAAAGTTAGAACGAAACAATCTCATTGTTACACCAAATTCCATTCTCTCCGTCAAAAGAATAGTAACCAGTTTTCTCCCTTTGATCCATCAGCTTGACAAGAAAGAAATATTATCACCACCCACCAACACATTGACAACAATAGCCATGAAAAGGCTAGCTGTCTAGGCAATTAAGCAAGTTGACTAGGGGTTAGAATGCCCCCGTCCCTAGGACCAGACCAATTATGCCTTCTTTTTTGCCTTCTTGTGAATTATGATAGCAATGCTCCAAAACATGGCTACTTTATTCAGTGTCATCAAGATATTAAGAATGCACAGCCCCACTATATTATTAAGGGAAAACAAGTTCTTTTTTAGGGCAAACTTCATTGTAACGCTTGTGGTTTAACCTATTTGTGTATCACTTCCATGCATTTCAAAAATGATACATAACCCACTTGTGATTGTTGGACTAAAATGTATTGATAAATTCTATCAAATATTACAATAAAATGACCTTAATACTCATTAATTTGTTTTTAATTTAAAAAAGAATTATCTTAAACTAACTTTGACTATCTAACCATTATCGTCATCACCACTAAATTCGACAACCCGGCCACCCTAACTCCGGCGCCATTCATTGCACCATCTCCATCAATTGCAGCCCATTGCCTGCGCCATACGAACCAGTGCACTTTCACAATTCAACCTCAACAAAACTCAATTTATATCCCAACATGTCAATTTCACTTTTCTTCACCAAAAATCAAAACATGAATCAAAAATCAAACTGAAAATAGAATCAAATTAGACATCGACATGGAAATATAAATTTAGAATCAAAACAATATAGGAAATCCAAATTAAAACAAAGATAGAAAATCAAAATCATACGGAGGCCGGTGGTCGTGGTAGATCGGTGAAGAAAGACATGGTGGAGACTGTGGACAAAAAAGAGGTTAGTGGTGGTGGTTGCTCAGTAACAGAATGCATGGGCGGTAATCATGGTTGTTATCATTAGATGAGATGCATAAGTGAGAATAAGACACACACACGAAAACAGTTGAGGGGTTTTTTTTTTGTTTGTTCGGCATGTATTTTTTATATCAAATTGTACAATAGGCGCATAGCAGATACGAATCATTAAAATAGATGAAGATTTTAACGTTGCATTTTAATCCAATAACCATAAGAGGATTATGTATCATTTTTGAACCACCGAGGTGATGTGCAAATGGGTTAAACCATAAGGTACTAAATTGAAGTTTTCTCTTTTTTATTTATTAAAAAAGCACTCACTCCCTAGCAGTTTACCAACTATGATTCTCTCTCATGTTCTCCAACCTTTGACAACTTGGACACCACATGTTTCTTTTGACAACTAAGAGGTTGTGTCCACAATAATAAAAATTGGACAATCCGATGCTAAAACTAGGTTAAGAAACTTTTGCCATTATAGGTTCCCAAAAAAATTAGATATTTGTAATTATATTTTTATATGTCGAGATTATTTTTACGACGACAGCTTCAAAGTTATAAAAAAACAATCTAACCACCGTACCAACCCTCAGCTTGTGTGGAATGTGCACAATGGTGTACTCCATAATTTTAGTGCAGGCATTGAGTACAGTGGGAGCAAATATACAAAACCAAGTGGCAGAGACATAAAAACCACAAGTTATGTGTCCACAAGTTCATAGCATCTTTCAAATTCGAAATGCTATGTGTTTGATTAAATGTCCCAGACAGTCCCACCGTCCACTTCCAAACCCACTTTCTTCCTCCGCATTTCCATTCCCTCCAATAGTTTCTTTTCTTGCTTTTTGATCTCTTGGGATTCTCCAAGTCAACCACCTCACTGCTATAAATGCACGAAGGCCCAGTTCCCAAGAAAACGTAAGGACATAGAACTGTGAGCTCAAGCTTCTCTCACTTGGTTCCACTTTGTCGTTATCGCGTTTCTCCATTTCTATTGTTGCTTTGGAGTTGGTGATGGAGTCTGAAGATGTTGCCTCAGCCCCCTCAACACCCGTAACACCAGGGACTCCTGGTGCCCCTCTTTTTGGTGGGTTCAAACCAGAGAGAAGTGGCAGTGTTAGAAGATCTCTTCTCAAGAGCTGCAAATGCTTCAGTGTTGAAGCTTGGGCTTTGGAAGAGGGAAGCTTACCCTCTGTCTCCTGCGCATTGCCACCACCTCCTGTCTCACTTGCAAGAAAGGTATATGGGAGAGAGTCCATTTGTTTCTCTTGTTAATGGGCTAAATGTCGAAAGCAAGTTGGAGTTGAATCATATGTGTGGGTGTGTATCAGGATCAATAATAGTCTGAACTCAACATATTTCGTGCTTGTTTTTCATGGGTTGATGCCAAAACCTGCAGGTAGGAGCTGAGTTCATAGGCACTCTGATTCTCATCTTTGCAGGGACAGCCACCGCCATAGTGAACCAAAAGACACAAGGCTCCGAGACCCTTATAGGCCTGGCTGCCTCCACTGGCCTCGCCGTCATGATCGTTATACTGTCCACCGGCCACATCTCAGGGGCTCATCTCAACCCATCCGTTACCATTGCCTTCGCAGCCCTCAGGCACTTCCCGTGGAAGCATGTGCGAAACTCTATATAAAGCTCTAATTTTGATCTAAATACTCAACTCACCTCAACAAAACTTTATCTGAACTTTTTGAAATTTATTACATGAACTATTAGGATTATATGCTCTGTTAAAGACCATATTTTCTATTGAATCGCAGGCTAATTTTTATCTAGATTTTCCTATAGTTTGTTTCACTGACTTGGGGTTCCAATGGATATTTGGTAGGTGCCAGTGTACATTGGAGCACAAGTGATGGCATCATTATGTGCAGCATTTGCATTGAAGGGGATTTTCCACCCCGTAATGGGTGGGGGAGTCACTGTTCCTTCAGGGGGCTATGGTCAAGCATTTGCTTTGGAGTTCATTATTACTTTCAATCTCATGTTTGTTGTTACTGCTGTCGCCACCGACACCAGAGCTGTAAGCATAGGCTTCTTTGACTTATTTCTTCATGGTTTTCTTTTTCCAATATGATGAAGACACTTCTATGACCAAAACTAAGAGGTTTAGGCCACTTTTTACCCCCTCAACTATCATAATTCTCATGACAGGTGATGGTTAGTTGATATTACTTTGTTCGGATATGTTTGATATTTTTTGTCCAAACAATAATAGACGTTTGTGTTTGTAGTAGTAAATGTGAAACTAATTCAAGTTATTGAACGGGGAATTTAAGAAATTCAGTAGTGGTAGGGTGTAATTAACCCTTTTTCCATTATACTTTCCTGCCACACTGCAGGTGGGAGAGCTGGCAGGAATCGCGGTGGGAGCTACTGTCATGCTCAACATACTCATCGCTGGGTAATACCTCATGCCTTTCTTTTCATATTTTTATGTCATTTTCAAACCAAATTCAGATCTCTTTCACTATATTTTTAATTAATTTCGTTTAACCATTTTATATGAGTAGATTGTGACCAATAGTGATCTATAGTGTACTGGAGATGATTGTAATATCCCCACCCCTAAATGGGTGTGTTGGACGATTATTTGATGAGAATGACTTACAAGGTCCTAAAACTCCTAGATCAACTCTCCTACTGTTATGGTCATACCAAAGTGAATACACATGCTCAAATGGGTTCTAATATATCCGTCTATTCTTCTTGCCTGAGGAATGATTATATCCTCAACCCGGAGAATAAAGAGAAAAGCTTGGCCTATCTATTTTATCATAGCCGACTTGTTGGAGAGAGCGGTGGTAGCGAAGGGACTCCTCGTCTATAAAGTAGAGGCTTTATTGAGTTCAAAATAGGGCCGGTAAGCATTTGCAGTAGTAGGCATTCTCTTAAGTGCCTTGGGGGGGGGGGGGGGGGGATTGCTTTTTATTGGAGTTGTTTGTTCTTCTTCCCTGTTGACTGGGCTATTAGGGCTGATCAAAGTATTTTTGAATAATGGGAAATGAACCTTGTGATTAGAGATGGTCAGTTCTTACTTATTTTTTATGCTGATGAGTCAAACAAATGGCAGGGAAACCACCGGAGCTTCAATGAATCCGGTGAGAACTTTGGGGCCGGCGATAGCTGCGAACAACTACAAAGCCATATGGGTGTACCTCACTGCTCCCATACTGGGAGCACTGGCCGGAGCAGGTGTTTACTCTGCAGTCAAGCTGCCGGAGGACGATGGCACAAGTCATGTTGATCCTCCAACAGCACATAGCTTCAGAAGGTGATCCATAGATGTCATTATCATACCTACATTATTAAATCCAGATGCTCCGCCCGAAGACAATGAAGAAGCTGTGCAATGAAGAGACCAATAATGGCACATAGCTAGACAAAAGCAGAGTGGAAATTTGATGGGCACATACGAAATAAAAGTATAAAACTAAGTTGTAACAAAATCCATTTTGGGTCTTCTTGAAATGTATAGAACGAGCTAGAGATTTCTTGGGAGAAAAATCGAATGCTATGATTGATGCTTGACCCTTGTCTAACTGGAGACGTTTGATTTTTTTTTTTTTATCATAAAAGTTATAAGCTATTAGTGAAAATCTTGACGAGAGCATTCGTGTCAAACTCGAGCTAAAATAAAGTTTATTTCTTAGCAAAAAATTCCAAAAGTTAAACCCTATAACTCACTAAAACAATTCTAAAATAATCAATTTTTCAATAAAATCCCCCAAATATGTATAACCAAATAAAAATCAATCCTAAACATTATGATATGGTTTGATATGTTCAAGGTTGTTCAAATAAATCTCAACGATGTCAAATGCGAGAAGAGGATGAGTTCTTTTTAGCTCGGGTACGATGATGAGTTTTTTTTTTCTTTTGAACTGGAAAAAAGATAGGGGTGACCAGTAGATAGTAACTTTGGGTGTAAACATGAAGATCCCCCCACTGTGTTGCCCGTCACCACATCACCAAAACCAACTAACAAATTATATTATTCTCGTAAATAAAACCCTACTTAATAATCACATGAGCCAAAAACAATCCTAAACGAGTAGGGCTTACCACTAGACCACCACCACTTCAAGTGGTGAGGATATGAGTTCAAGAAATACCATGTCACCAAAAGAAAGGCCTAAATTTAGCACAAAAAGAAGGGAGCACAATGAATGGGGCCCAGAGATAAATATTCCAAAACACTTGACTTACATATTCTATGTATCCAAACCAGCCTGAAACCAGTGATGGCTCTGTCCGACACAGTGCACGACTCCAGGACCCATTGAGCACCAATCCAGCAAAGCCATCCCGAGCTCTCATCCTTGACTCAATTGATCGGGTCCGACACTTTTGCTAATATTTTTTAATTAACTTAAATTCAAATTAAAACAATTACCATTGGATATATGATTTCTTTGAATATGCATATACAATGCTAGTGCTAGATGTATTCCGGCTGTAGTCTTCAGCAAAGTCTTTCCCATCAATATACATTAGCTGTCTCAATGCAGGACTGAAGACTTGAACTGTAAAGAACATCCTTCCAAAGGAATCTGCAGATTTTCAGTCTGAATTAGTAAAAAGACAACGTAGCCAATTCAGTCGATAATCAACATCGCCTTCACGACTTGATAAATTTTCTTCTTCAGATCATTGAGGATGGGTTACAGCATCAAAGGTGTATCATCAACTGCATCCGATTTAACTTCAATTGTTGATATTAACAACATTTCGTGTCAAAAAAACAGCTCAGATTATAATTTCACAACCCACAAGTCACTTGGCTAGCATTAACCCAACAACTACATCAGGTGTGAAAAACAAAACTCTGACAAGGCTTAAATGAACTTCAGTAACCAGGCCAAATTATACGCACTACAACATTCCAATAATTTCGATGGAAATTGAGGTTCACTCCAAAAGTACATGTATCCAGGACTAGATTTCTGCTTGCTAATTCATCTTACTAATTAACTCATTGATTTGATCCTCACGATTTCCGGTGTCTCCTCCATCCTTGAATAGCCTTTTCTTACCCTGTAATGCTTTCTCTGGCTTGTTTAAAGTGAAGGGACACAGAAAACGACTGACCTCCTTAAAATGTGGACCAACATTAGCAACCTCATTTATGATGTCTTCTATGCAGACGATGCCATGCTGACCCAGTGCCTGGCACAGAAAAAATAACGGGACAAAATATTAAAACTAGGGCAGCAAATGTAAACGGGGAACAACTGCAACACAATTCAGTAAAATATATCTAATACCTCTTCAATGATATTATTGTCCGTTAAAGGAACTCTCTGCTTATCAGCTTTCACAGCACCTTTCTTGTAAATCAGATCCTTCACACTCTTGAGATTAGGATATCTTCAAACACAAACAAACTAGCATTAGGACCATAATCAGAGAAGAACAACCAAAATGAAAATGACATAGATGCTTGCAACAAGCAACATATTGCTCATCTTCTCACAAAAAATGTGAACATGCGAGGAGGGTGCACCAATGGTAGTGACACTTACAAAACCACTTTATCAGAAGACTTGCATATTACAAGCCTGCTGCTGTGGAATGGATGTCCATAAACAAGATATAAATGCCAATCTTCTTATACTATTGAGGCCAAATATGTCAGTGATTGTTGTTCACTGCCTTCAACTAATGTCGCCACATTTCAAAAATAAGGGCAGCATTTGCCACACTAAAGTACTTTGCTCAGAAAAGAAGTAACTTCAACATTTTGTTTTATCAAAAAGTGCTACTATGTTCGATGGCTATTTTCAAAAGTAATACATACATGTCATGATACATAAGTCATACACCTACATTGCATTCATGTACTACTATGCATGTAGTTCAGCTTGGGGGAAGAGCATGAACCCAAACCCAAAAACGGGTCAAAAAAATTACTTCAAAAAAAGTTGTTTTTCAACTTTTAAAAAGCAATTCCAGCACAAATCAAATGTTATTTTTTACCTTTTGGTTCAAAAAAACTCGACAGAAAATTAAGGGGAAAAAAGAGAGTTGCCAAACAGTACCAACAAGTGGCTAAAATCAAACACTTGAATTTAGCAAGAAATCTGGTAAGCAATTATCATCCATGACAAAAATATTATCCACAAGTGAATATCAACAACAAATTAATAGCAATCATATGGTGGACACATAAAGCAGATAACATTGGGGAAACATGATGCACTGGATCGCCAAATCCAAGAACACAAGATACTTCGATGCCCCACCGTTGCTACATATCCTCTTAACATCTAGGATATATGACGTCTAGTAAAGAACAACTATAAATATCAGTTTGAACTACCCAAATGTAATATATGGTTCCACTCTTTGCAAAATTTCCATTATCCTTTCATTTGCCTTCAGAAAGACACCACTGAAGATCCTTCTCAGCCGCAGAGAATACAAGACCTTCCTTGTTTTTGGGTGCATGTCCTTTTTTCTGGAAACAAACTGGCAGACATCAGAATCAAAAGATAAAATGCAGAAATGTGGGGAAATCATTAAAAAACAACATTTATCACACACCCTTGTATGCGAATGACGAAAAGGAGCTTGGATTCTGGTGTCACCAATGATCTTCTTTGCCGCTTTCCCCTGTGTTTCATCTGGATGAGATCCAATTCCTGGGTGCAAAACAGCAGATAAGAAGGATATTAGATGATTATCATGGACTGCAGCAGAGTTGACAGCAATCTAAACCCCATTGGTATCAAAGCAGGATTCCAGCTGACATCAGCTTAAGAATGCATGCTTTCGTGCAAACACCAATGGAGTTTGAGTATATTTAAAGAGAATGCATGAACATGATGAATGAAGGCCGGCTTTCTTATTGGGGAATACTTCTTCTATGGAAACCAAAATAGTGAGAGACGACAAAGAGTAAGTAAGCTTGTCATTATAAGCCCCCATCTCAATGCACAATCCAGCCACAGGGGCGTTGATAATTTGTAAGCAGATCACTCTTCCGAATGGACATACAATTATGCAGATAAAATCCCTAAATACTGTTTATACTGTGTAGTTAGGTTGCATGCATGGTATATGGACATTCCAATCGTGTGAACTAGCAGTGTGATGCAAAACATGATATTGACTTCTTGATATGTGTCTACCTACATGTTTTACATTAGGAAGGAACACAGAAAGTGTGCCTAACAAACGAAGATTGGAGCTACTTCCTTATTCATGTATGTTCTCAAAAAAATATAACAAATTTGACAAATATGATGCCCATATAAAGCCTCCATACCCTTCATGCCTCATCTTGACTAATCAAAGGTTGATTTTGGTTAGTAAAAATCAAAATTCTTCACTTATTTCTGCAATTTCCTTATATTCATTATCTCACTACTTAAACTGAGCACAACAAAAGTCCTTTCTAGCACTACAAACGAAAAGGTTGAAATGAATTTAGATAGATCAATCAATCAAGACAGAGAACAATGCTAGGGAATCATGGAACTTAATCATCAGAAAATTCGGGAATGGATACTCAAAGCATCATGTGAAGTGCTAACTAGATTGCAAAGCCATAAACAGTATTTACCTTGTCACGGTACTCTCTGATAAACTGCTCAGGCTTCTTAATAACAAAATTATCACCCTTGATCTTCCTAACCCTCTGCTCCAACTGCTGTTTCCTTCTTATAGCCCACTGTTCATTGCTCTTCCTCTTCTTCAATATTACTTCCGGTATATATGTCAAAGGTTTCTGTTCCTCATCGGCCATGGTGGTCTCGGTATCCAAATACTCTAGTCTAACAAGTAAGAACAAAGCACAAATTTAACATTCTTCCTTCAAATAACACCTCAAAAAAAAAAAACAAAATTAGTGGTTGAGCCCTCTCGCTATCTGACAGCAATCCGGTGATGGCTTGACTTTAAACGCGTAAATGTTTTGGGTCGCCGGTGCTGGTGGATGGTGCAGAGGTCGATGGTAGTGGTGACTTAAATCGGTGGTGATTGGTGAGCCGGAGGTGTGTTAAAGGTCCGGGTTTGTTAATTAAAGTCCAGAGGAAAAAGAAAAAACAAAACGGAATGGGTATAAGACAGAGGAGAGGAAGAGACCTACCTCACCGGACGTAGCTGCGATTGCCGGCTACGTCGTCTGCTATGGCGGAGAGAGGGCTGCGCAAGTGTTAGGGTTTGAGATGTGAACTCGCGGGATACAAGGTTGGGTCTTATTTATTTGACAAAATTACACTGACACTCCTACTGGAATCTAACAATTATAGTGGACACCCTCATAGTTTATAAATTGAAAGGTCGTTGTAGATGACCCTGAAAATTATACTTAAATACCCTTATCTTGTGGGGCCTAACTGCGGTATCGTTTTGGTACCCAATCTCCTATTTTCTACCAAATCATATTGCAAAACCAAACTAAATACCCCAAAAGAATGTGACACACCTAAACCATTAATATTTATGTGGATAAAAAATTAATTATTTGTGTTAAAATTTATCTTATTTGTCTAAATATTACTTAATATATATATATATATATATATACACAATAATAAAATATGTATTTATACTTTTTCGTAAAGGAAGAAAAATGCATTACTCCTACTTTTTTTTTCTTAAATGATAAAAAGTGCATTTCTCCTACTTTTCATCTTTCTTACCGCATAGCATAAGTGTTGAACAATAACGATTTTTTGCCCAATATTTATAGTGTCTCAGTATATTTGGGTATTTCAATAATGCCACAAAATTTTGGAAACAATATATGAAGTGGTGTGACGAAATTTTATGCACTAAATATTTAGTGAGCCTTGATGAAACTCATTAATCTAATCATCTACGTTGATTTAATATACAAAATTTAATAAACAATTTTGGTAGTATAAGAATGTTCTTTACTCCACTTGTCCGATGCATCACCTACAAAACATTTAATTTGAAGGGCCTTAACACTGGCTGGTCAAACGGGCTGAGGCCTTTTGCCTCAGGCTCCCCCTTTGGGCCTTGGTTTAATGACCGGCCCTCACAATTTCAAACTAGGACTATGCTTAACGGGATATTTAATGGAGAATATTCTTATGCATTTCCTTGTACAAATCCATTTATTTATATCAGGCTGAGAATTTCTGTACTTGGTTACTTACGCTATCAATATCATTATGGAAATGTGCAGCTAGTGAAAAATTTGACATGTTTACAGAGTCCGTCCCTTTCGTACCATTACAAAGAATGGTCTTCTCTTTAATAATGGCCAACTCCACCTCCACCTTCACCTCCACCACTGAGTATGTGGAGTCAAAGCAATAACGTTGACTCGTGTATTGCCGACATATTAAAAGACAATCTAACTTTTTAAAAGGCGATTCTCCTAATCTCATTAATTTGGATTCAAAGAGTTATTTTTCAAAAAAAATTGAATTGTTCAATAATTTTTTGGACTACAACGAAGAACTAAAGCGATTTAAACAGCAATATTCCTACTCAGATATTTTGCGGATATTTTTACACGTGGAACAAGATGTACAAGTTTAGATTTTAATTTATAACTATTTCTTTCAAATTTATATACAATACAAAAATATCAACAATATACAATATGATTTTTAAAAACGTAAGTATTTTTTAAGTATTATTTACTTTAACATGTTAAAAAATAAAGAAGTTATTTAAACTATAACGATATAACATTTGAAATAAATCCTTGTAAATAAATCAATTAGTTAAATATTAATTTTAATTCTTTCAATTAGTCGCGTTCACTTTATGTATGAATTATAATAAAATGATATTACACATTTTTCAAAGTAAAAAATGCTAATTTTGTTTAATATACTTTATTATAAACGTATCACGGTCGTGTCCGTATCATATTTTTTTAGGTTTTGTCTTATCGTCGTATATGTATCTACCCTTTCTAATTAATAAGACAAGCCTTAAATGCAATCTTCAACCCGTATACCTTCGTCCCCTTTACTAAATTTTTGAATCCGTCCCGAGTGTATTCCTTGGGTAATTTTCAATTGTGGAAATCAACAATGGATGTACACTTCCTCGTCGTGTTCATCCTTTTGCTGAAACTACATATATACTTGTTGAGTTAAAGTGGTAGTTGCAGATCTGTGTTTTACACTAGCAGTACTGTGCCAACCACCATTGCCGTACACCTTCATTTCATAATCCAGAAACTCACTAAGCTCTATCAAGTTATCAACAACGATGTCCCACCATCCAATAATAGATTTAAACCTAGACATGTGTACAAACATAAACATAACAGGAACACATTTTGTAAGCTCTTCGCATTGTAGGAAAGGTGGGCACCAATCCACCAACCCTACATCAACAATAGCATTAGTCACCGACCCTCTCCTACATCAAACAGATGTTATTATGTTGCACAAGCCATGTCGACTGCTATAAGTGCAACTTTCTTAAGAGAGAATCAATATCTTATTATAAAGTTGGGTGGAACTTCAAAAGGCAAAGTTTGCAAGATGAAAATCATATCATCATGATTTGATTGCATCACCCGTATACGAAATGAGAATTCAGGGTTCTTACAAATGATAGACTTGAATTTTGAGGGCACGATTCTTATTACATGATTGTGTTAAGTTGAACTTCAAATCACGATAGAAGATACTTGTGATTTTGGTTCTTTATCTTTTCGTGAATTTTTTGAGCACGAATTTCATTGTCTGATTGTTGTTAATTTGAACTTCATATATAGAAAGGATAGAAACGTGACAATAAAAAATAATGATAATTTTGATTATTTAATTTCTCTTTTCATTATTCAGATTTCAAATATCAAAACGATCATTTCAATCCCATATTAAAAAAAACTTAAACACAAACAATCATCTCTTTCTCTAATTAAAGGGTAAATTAATTTTTTTCTCTTTACAATTTCGACTAGAAGTACTTTACCTACTTGAAGCTTAAAATTATGTACATTATCCCCTTATGATTATGTATCAAAGTAAAATAATTGATGTTGTTAATAGAATAAAAAATTTTCATAATATCCATGTTTCAAAATCAAACTTTAGTCTAATTTACTCTTGACAATAAAACTAATTGATACATGACAACAAACCAACAAATTTCAGTCAAGCATGTTGAGTTTTTTTTTTTTTCCTCAAATGAGGTTTTATTGTAGGGCAAAAAATTACTTATATTTTTCTTACATGTTTTTTTGATTTGGATCGATGCCCTACCTATTTAAGTATTACACCTTATATTATAAGATATTTTAGGCACTTTAATAATATTTTTTTGGAGAGAAACAATGGAAACAAAGCCAATATCATGTGTTTGGGTGAGTTAACTTAGATAATAAAAGTAATCATTTTACTTTTCTACCTAACTTCAATGAGATAATGTGCATAATTTTAAACGTTAAGTAGGTAAGATGCTATAATTGAAAGACCCGAAACCATAAGATGGTAAAAAATAATTAACCTTTAATTAAAAGACCATCAGTGAGTGAGAGGCATAATCAAAGGCTTCATTCATCCTTCATGGTGGAGATTGAGATTGAGATGTACACTTGTTTTAGTATAATCATAGCATATCTTTTACTTAAATCACTCTTTGATAATGAAAATGATTATCAATCTGGACCCATGGGTCCTGTGAGAGATCTCTCAAGTAAGAAATTAAGATTTGCACCATTTTAATATGGAAAAAATGATGTGATTGCATAGCTGAGGCTTATTATAAACCCTACTCTCCACATGACTCCACCACCCTATTGATCAAGACTGCCCAATAGATAGTCTATTACTTCGTCTGCAAGTGGGTCCACTATGCCATAATTCAGACAATCTTCACAACCATCCAAGTGGCATCCATCTAGTGAACCATGTTCATTCAGAAATATAGGATTATATAAATCAAACTGTACGGGTGATGCCTACTTGGGTAGTGACAAATACATCAATCTTTCTCTGTCTCCAAATGTCAGAAATATGATATCATATGAAAGAAAAAAACATAAAACCTTGTTCAAGACTACGACACTAAAAAAGAAATTTAATTTTGATACCATATTTTGAGATTTTAAATTTTTTGTGGGTTTTAATTTAAATTTTGAGGTTCGTTTTATAATAACAAAATTTATAATTTTTTGAGTAAAATATAATTTTTGTGATGGTTTTACGATTAATCTTAAAAACATTATGATTAATTCTAACATTTTAAAAATTAATTGTAAATTATCACAAAAGTTATAGAATAATCTCAAAATTATTTTTAAAAAATAAAAATAAATAAATTTCAATACCGTAAACTTCTCCTAAAGCCTTATCACTCAGTCCATGGACAAATGTGTAAAAAGATGGATTTGCATTATAAAGTTGTATCAGTGTGAACACAATTATTCATGGGAGAATGCATTGTAGAATTTGCCTCCAAATTCTAAGTAACTTCTCATACCTCTTACTATACCTTTCCTCCAAGTATCAAACCAGCCTATACAAGATTCCAATTATCGAATTCTAGCAAGGATCGGACGTAAATAATTTTATCTATGAAATATACTATTTACAAAACTTGAATTCATGACTCCCATGCCATAATGGAGTAACCATGACTGTTGCAACAAACCTGCTACTTTGCTTGAAATACACACACAGAGAGGGAGTAAATCGACTGAGAAGCAAAAAATATCACTCAAGCCCTATGTACCAATAGGACATTTAAAAGAAAACTTTGTTAAGGTAGAAACTCTGAATGATCAACAAAGAAAAAGTAAGACAAAATTTGAGAAAGAAAATGATAAAACTACTTAGAGTTTGAGGGACAAGTCTAGCTTCTGTAACTCATCTTGATTAGTCTTCAAAGGGTTACCACTATCGAGCCTATATCCTTTAAGTTCTTTAACTCCATCGCCTACCGGAGAAAACTTGTGAAAGCCATCGAATCTAGCAGCGCCACCACCTGATGACGATCCTACAGATGCCCCAAACTGATAATTCCCCGGTGCAAGCCGCCCGATCGCCGGTTGCTGATCAATAGGCTTTCTAGACCACCCATTATGTCCATACATGGGAGAAAAACCAGAAGTGGATGCTAAGAAAGTTGGCTTATGGATCATAGAGTGGACCTGAATGCCAAGAGACCTGTTGAAGGAACCATGTAGAGGAAGAGCAGCCATGCTTGAGTAACGGTGGGAGTGTGAGCCATGGCCAAACGCTGTCGCTGGGGCGGCGCCACCCACCTGCTGCCCTCGTTTTGCTATTGTCCGCTCTCGTTTGTGTGCATTTTGATGGCCTCCAAGGGCCTGTGAACTGTAGAATTTTCTTTGGCAGTAGTTGCATGGGAAGACTTGTGGTGGCTCACCTTTATTACCTTGAGGAGTCTCTAGTGAATTTCTTGATGAACTCATGCGAAAACAATCAATGAGATTGAGTTCTGGCTTGATGTCTTGATCTGAATCCTTGCTACAGAGGTTTAAATCCAATATAAAATCAGGGTTCTTCTCTACTTCTTGCTTTTGATCTTGTTTTTCCATTTGTTTACCCTGTACTTTTTGAATCTCCATTGAGCTATTCAGGCATGGTAGGGTTTCTGAGACTGAAATGATGCTTGGACTTTTAGAGCGAGTACATGGCTTTAGTTTTGGTACCTCCATATGGAGGACTTGAAGCAAGCCTTGTGGGTGATAAAGATTGTGTTTAATACCAAGAAGGTTGTAATGTTATTGATTAGAAATAAATGTTATGGTGCCCTATATGGAAGGAGAATATACAGTTATAAGGCCTTATTATAGAAACAATTGGGTGTGTATGTGTAAGAGGAGGAGGAAAGAGAGAAGGGGGGGGGGGGGGGAGAGAGAGAGAGAACTGTTCGAGTCATTAGGCTTTTGATTGAAACTCATGAAGAACACCATCTACCTCTTTTGGTGGCAAATATGCCCCATTGAATGTTGTATCTACTTTTCTTTGTCTTCCCACTCTTGTCTCTTTTTTTGTAGTTGTTGTCTTTTGGGTTGTCCATTTTCGTGTTTAGTCTTTGGTTATGTTTTCCGAAAGATCGTCTAAGATAAGGATGACTTGCTTTTTGGTATTGCATTATAGTTTGGAATGAATATACCTAAAAAAGGAATTTATTAATTCCTCTATCCCACCAAATAGTCATAGTCCCCTATTTCATTTTTGGATGTCCCAATATTCCAGTGGCTCTTTGAAAAATCTATGCATAAGACTCGTGACTTTCCAAATTTATACGTAAGAGGTTAGATTTGGAATTTTAAACACTTTAAAAGTACAATAATGCTATGCTGATAAATTTAGAGATCAAATCAAGAGTTCAAATAACATGACAGCATATTATTTGAAGTTTTTATTGGGACTCAAATAATATGACACAAAATAAAAAAATTCAAGTTAGTTGTCATGTCATTTGGGATCTTGATTTTGTCATAAAATTTGGTCAGTGTAATATTACTCTTAAAAATATCTCTTTTGAACACTTGAAGTGTAAACCATTTAATTCTTATTCAGTTATTCTCCTTAACATTAGGAAATGTAAAGGTGGAGAAAATATTGAATACAATGGTGATTGTAAATATGATATCACTAATCAATAATAAAATTTCAAGTGGACAAAGTGAATCACACATGAATAGTTATTGACTTACATACAAAATGAGTTGGTAGTTATTGACTTACATGAACAGGTAATTATTGATTTGTGTGAAGACTATGTTCTTATTTGTCCATATATTATTGGTTGATAATACCACATGGTAATGCTAATGGTTTACCGTTGCAATGAATATTTTTTCCTAAACATGCTTTACCTGTAAATAAGAGTGCCTTTGTTTTCCTCAACTTGAACCCTAAATTTTGGGAAGTATCCATTTTTTTAATAACTGGAAATGGTTTAACTATTTACTTTTTGGACTCCCAGCCCAAATCTCATATGTATGTATTTGCTCGCAAACTACAAATATCAACTAAACTTGGGTTTTATGTGATTAGGGAAGCCCCAAACTGAAGACACGTATAGGTGTATGTCGTCCTGCCCCTTGTTTGAAAGCTAAACCAACACATGAAAGGTTGAAGTGTTCATAATTTTAGCTTTATCAATAACTATATGATTGATGAGATAAAGCAAATTGAGTTTGTTTGAGTAGTTAAAGAGTTATTCTCCAGACATGATTTGAGGTCAAGTCTCACCAACCGCATACTGTGACTCCCCTTTATATAAATGCTAGACTTGTTGATGCTCTATATCAAAACAACATTATAATTTAGGTTTGAGTCTACCTTTTTAACCATAAACATGCAATCTCTTGCAATTGATTAATTCGTCTTAGTTTAAGTTTTAAAGACAAAATGATTAGAATGCAAATGATAAAAAATGAGGCTTTAAGCAGTAAAAACTCTTGAACACAGTAAAAACTTGTATTGTTTAGGGTTCAAGATTTAAGATTAGAATAGTTTAGGGTTTAGCATGACATGAATAACTCAGTTACCACATGTATGAGTTTAAATTTTGAGTCTTTTTTTGGAAGCTAGAATAGAACTTCGGTGTACTCTCATTCTCATAGCAAGTTTGTATGTGACCCTCCTAAATTAGGGTTTTCAACAAGATTATGAAGCTGTCAATGTTGTCCTTCTGCAACAGCTAATACCATAGTATATATACTTTTAGTTTCCATGTTTTTAGGTTTCCTTTTGAGTTTTGCTAATAAATATTTGGAAAAATGAAAAGATTAAGATAAGGGCAATGTTGTATAGGCCTTATTTAGTGATTTTATTTATTAACTTTATCATTATTTATTATTCGATTGACAATGAATATTAATTGAGTCTTACTATCAATTAAATGATTATAATATATCATGTCATCAAATAAGATTACAAAATTCGGTACAAAAAATATTTCCCCATAAAGGGCATAAATGGCAAGTGGGTGATCCTTGAGGGTGAAAAGTATAATTAACCCAGTCTTCAATTATTAGTGGGAGTAAAGAGAAATTAATTCAGCCAACTCAAGGCATTTGCCCTCAAATTCCAAAAAGAATGCAAAATATTACCCTTTTTGTTCTCTTCGTGGGTAATCAACTGACTAGAAAGAAGTGACACAAAAAATAATAAAATAATGTGAATAAGATCAAAATTTTAAATGAAAGAGAGTGAAATGGAAAATATTTTTATATTAGCGCCACCTTATTTGATTTTTTTCTCATCCCATGTTTTAGCTAAGTATAATATTATCCTTCCTTTGCCATCAAAGTTACGTTGGTTTACTGTGATACGTGCTTCAGTTTTTGTGACATACGGTTGAATTCATGATTTGAAATTGTTAGGTAATATTCCAAATGGAAAGATTGAGTGACTGAAGTGTACTGTCCAATCCCATCTTTTGTATTGCCTAGGGATTAGTCACACTAGTAATCAAAATCTAACCACCAATAAGAGCAATAGATACTGTTGTTATAAGGGTAATGTTATGGTACCGAATAAAAAAAATTTGATATAATATTATTATTTATTATTTTATGGTAAAGTTACAAATTTAAAAATAAGAAGTTACAACTATTCGAGAGAATTATAATTAATCACAAACACACATGATCGATCATGAACTTCACTTGAACAATTGTAACTTCTCTCTTAAAAATTGTAACTTAATCTTTAAAAATTGTAACTTAATCTTTGAAAGTTGTAACTTCAATGGCAATCCTCGTTCAGTACCATAGTCTCTCCCTAGTTATAGACACTTTGCCCACCACTTTTTTCAATCATGTTTATTAGAAAATTGTTCATTGACATGTGATGGTAAGTAGTACCTATTCTTTTAGATTTCATGTATATCTGTTTCGCCAGTATTTTGTGTGGATATTTAGTCTCCCATCAAGTGTGCACATTATATAATAGTGCTACCTGACGTATTAAATTCATTCAAAAAAATTCATGAATATGGGTTTTTTTTCATTCTTGTTTCAACGACACTGACAAGCAAGAGAGAAACTTTTCCTGGTGTGAATTTGAAGAAATATTCTAATAAAATGTGATCGAGTTGGACAAAAGATTTGTAACTTTGAACTTAGACCAAGCTTTTAAAAGGTATCATTGTGATATCTATATTTTACTTTTCGACATCATACTATAGCAACATCACCTTTAAAATGACGAAGTTTAATGAAAAAAAAGTGGTGGTGTATCACCATAAAAACGGGTTAGCCCATAAGGAATTTGATTCGGTATGAACTTTTCCTGTGCTGATACGAATCTCAACTGAGCGACCAGGAGAAGTTGATGTAATTTATCTTATGCAATGAAGATGCATAAAGTGGCCGACAGGTTAGATGGAGAAAACTAATATGAAGAGGCCCTTAAATGCTCCCTTAATGCTGTCCTATGCTGAATTACTTTATGAATTATTAGCATCATAACATGATTGTTATGCTAAAGCTAGCCGTTGGGACAACCATCATTTTTCCCATACATTAATGAAAGCGGAAGGACTAGGTATTCCAGTGTACGAGATTCTTTTTGCTATAGAATTTGAGAATGTATGGTTTAAATGTATGTTGTCTTACTCAAAGTGTAGTGCGATATTTTTGTGAATCAAACTTGTGATAGTTTTATAATACAACGACACAGACTTACCCCTTGAAAAAGACAGGAGGATTGATAAAGGAAAAAGAAATACTAGTGTGTGAGTGTTTAGTCAGTTGAATCATATTTAGGCGCTGTCCTATATATATATATATATATATATATATATATGTTGGGTTTGGCTTGCTTTGTCTCATCAAGATGGACCCAAATCTCTTTAGTAGATTTCTTTGTCTGTATAAGTCGATGTTCAAAGAAGTTTGAGTAGAAAGCTATAGGCTTTTTCCATCACTAGTGCTCTTCTATCAAGCTTAGAAAGAACAAAATATATCAAAGTGTCATTCAAATATGACTAATTCTATCTACACTCAAATTTACAAAACCTGTCTTTTTTTGCTTCATTCAATGTACAGAATTCCATTAGCAACCTAATTTTTAAATGGGAAATGTTATTTGTATTTAAAAAGTTGACATGATTTGCTGACTTGATGAATTACAATCATTGAATAGTAGTAAGTTTTAATAAAAGTTAAAACCTACAACTAAATCAATGATATTGATTGATCAAATCAAATTTTCAAGTTAAATTTCAGTGTATTTTTAAACTCTTAACCATGATCCTTAGATGATCAAAAAACAAGATACATTTGATAAACAATACTATAGTCGAAATATTATTTAAAATACAACTTCTAATAGACAAGGTCTACGTTTTTTTTGTGTGAATAGTATATACATCTAGAGTTAATGTTGCTTCCACGAATCCAACTAATATGTGACTGGGACGATTAGCTTACTTTAAAAAAAACATATTAAATAACATTGAATAAGTATTTGACCTTTTTCAAATGATAGTAGAGCTATTTTTTAAAAAATATATATATAAGAGATTTTTTTTTCACATTTTTATGATTTTTTTTCATGTTTGTGCAATTTTCACCTCAAAACATTCACCATTTCACCTTCAATTTAATTCGTTTTCCTGAATCCAATTCAATCAGTATAAAGCTTGAAATCACAGTTTGCTTCTATCCAGCAAAAAAAAAAAACCCTTTTAACTCTTTCTTGAACCTCAATATAAAGGAACACTGCTCGGCCATGTGTATGGAGAAGTGCATAAACTATTGCA